TTCCTCTTTTAATAGCCTATAGCAAAAAAACTTTGAAAATTATTTTTCCAATAGAAATAAATAGAGTCAAAGTACAAACTTTAAACCCTCATAACTTCGAAATTTTTATAGATAAAATTTTTTTAACATTTTTTCCATGTTCCTGGTATCTTATCTTATATGGCATTTTTCTCTGGGGCGCGAGTTCTGGCGCACCTAATTTAATAACAATGCTTACAACTCATAAATTCTCAAAAAATGCAACGAGTACACGTTTTTTCCCTATACGATTGTTTTCTTACCTGTGGTATGTTATTCCTGGTTTTGCAACCAAAGCACATATCACCATTATAATTACACTTCAAAAGAAATATTACACAAATTTGATAAAAACCTTGAAAACATTTGTTGGTGTTCACGCTTTATTTGGCATTAAGGTACAGTTACTGAATTAAAATTTCGGGCAGTATTTTTCGGTCACTTCAAAAAGTTCACTGTGAACTACCTTTTACTGTCATCAAGACAAACATTTGACAATTAAACTTTTCTGTCAGAATCGTTATTTTTTAAGTCAAAATGACATAAACATGACAAGAGTAAAAAATGAGGCTATTAATGTAAAGGTTGTTTTAGAGATTACATTGTGAAAATGACAATACTGCCCGAAATTTTAATTCCGCAACTAGATGCTGTCATTGACAGAGGTACTGCCATCATATGTTTTTGACACTGACAGCGGGTTTTTGACCTTGAAAAGTAATGTCACTCTGACGGAACTACCGCGAAACTTCAAAAAATCATTCAATGAAAGATGACTAAAACTTGTTGTATTGCCCACTGCAAGTCTAGCGCTAAAGATGGGAACAAACTATTTAATTTGCCTCAAGGTAAATATTGTTATAATTAAATTGGTTAAGGCTTTTGCGGCCGGTTGATGTAACGTCGTTGTTCTGGTTCGGGTCTAAAGGCCGTCGTCCAGCAAACCATCAGATCAGCAAAGGACAAAAGGGACCCACTTTCGGATGCAGGAGTCTACCGCATACCCTGTTCCTGCGGTAAGATCTACATTGGAACGACCAAAAGATCAATGGGAACAAGACTCAAGGAACATAAAGCTAGGACAAACCGAGAAGTCTGCAGTAGCCGAACACGCACTGAGCAACAGAGACCATAGGATACACTTTGACAGATGTAGATTGCTAGCCTCAGTCAACGGATATCACAACAGGCTAGTCAGGGAAGCCATCGAGATCCACAAACATCCGGATAATTTCAACAGGAAGGAGGAGACCCTTAAGCTCAACTAGATCTGGAACCCGATTCTCAAAAACACCCAAACATTACCGAGCAATATCCCGAAGCCAAATAAAACGGAAACTCAGCCACTGATATCCAGGAACTCTCGAACAACACCGATCGATATCACACAATCAACCGAAGCGGAAGCTCCACCCCCCACCCACCACTATAAATACAACTTGCGTAGGAGAAATCGCCAGCATTCATTCTGAGTCGATCGGTCGAAGCCAGCGGACGTGTTCCAACAGCCTCCTGAGAAGCGAAAGAAAATTCCAGACATCCGAAGCCATCATCCCTGACTTGGTCGTGTTTTTCAACACGATCACAGTTCATAATAAAACGTGTTTTTTAACACGAACGACATAACAAGTTAAAAACTTTCACGAGCTTTCACCGACTTCGAAACGTGTTTCGACACGTTAGAGGAAGGGAAAGTTCACTTTTAAAAACAAAATATGGAAATGTCACTCCAGACATCCATCGCCGCCCTTGTGGCCGCCGCTGTGAAGGAGGCCTTGGCCCCCATCACGGAGGCCTTAGCCCCCATCACGGAGAGGCTGCAACGGATCGAAGAAGCTGTCTTTTCGGAGACAACTTCTCAATCATCGAGGACATCAGGGACCATCACACCAGGCCCCCCATCGGAGGACAGCGAAATGGAGACGGAGCGCTTCAGCCCAGCCAAGACTGGAAAGAAGCGGCCAGCTCCATCCCCCAGCCCCCGTGATGAGATTTCCACCGAAAACAGGTTTTCGAGCCTGTCGGAGGAAGAAGTCGAATCCCCGCCAGTTTCGGACGACGAAAGCGTCGCCGAAAAGAAGAAGAGGAGGAGGAGGAAGAAGAAGAGGTCTTC